AACTCACCTCTGATGACGTCATCATCGACGCGATCGATAGCGACTCGAAGGGCAGATGCGCTGTCGAGTGGCCGCCGGCCGTCAGAGAGCAGAACGGGAGCTGACCGTCGATTGAGAGCGTGTCGAGAATGGGCGCCGAAGAGCGCGACAACTGGAGGCCGAGCAGTGATTGCATGGAAAGCGATTTGAAGCGCTTCTCTTCGGCGCGAATTTGGTTCAACTCCTGCTGCACTTCGCGCATGAGTGTCGCCACGTCGTCCATCGACTCCTTGAGCAGCGACTCGAAGACGTCAATCGCGTCGTCTCTCGTCGTCGTCGCCGCCGTCTGTGTCGCCAAACGTCGTCTCAATTCCGTCTCGTATTCGTCCAAAAGCGTCGAATCGTCCTTTTCTTGCAACCGATGTCTCGGAGTCGGCGGCGAAGCGTCTCTAAAGGACGGAAACGGCCGTTAGTCGGCATTAAATTTATAAGGAACGCCGTCGCACTCACGTCAAGTCCACGCATTGCGTCCTCTCGAGCGACCGGCGCCGGCCCTCCAGTGAGCGGTGAGAGCGCGAGCGGTCGATGGAGTCGCGCGCGACGGACGACATCTCGGACAACGACTTCGGCCGCTCGTGGTGTCGCTCGTGATTGACGGACGCCGTCGTCTGCGTGACGTCACGAAGCATTCGCTTCAAGGCCTCCGATGAGAGCGTGGAAGCCGTCGTTGTCGTGATTCTGTCGCACATGAGGTCGTCTGTCGTCGTGGCCGTCGTCGCCACGCGTCGCACGTCTTCCTGAGATTTGGAGCGCGCAGTCGACTGTTGTTGTTGTGGCTGTCGTTGCGTCGTCTGCTTGTCGTCGTCCTGTCGTCGTTGCGCGCGAACAGACATCATCTCGCGCTGCGACTTCGCCCGCATCTGGTCCTCCATTGAGCGCACGTGACCTCTGCGGCGGCCGAAAGAGTGGTCAAGAGAGAGGTCAAGAGAGAGGTCAAGACGCATGCGCGCGCACTCACCGATTGGCGAAATACTGCTGTCGTTCGTGTTGTCGTCTGACTAGCGATCCGTCGCTTTTGGACGACTGCGTGGTTCCCGAGGAGTCCTGTCGCGTGAAAGTCGCGTAACGAATGCGTCCGTTGCGCTGCTTGTGGAGCGCGTCTGACGTCATGCAGTCGCACGTGCACTGCGCGGCCGACAACTGTTGCAAATACTTCTGTTTCGACGGAGAGTTCGGTTGCGAATGCGTCGTCCGTCCCGTCGTCCGCGCGTCGTCTCCGCGTCGCTCGTGTTTGTCAGCGCGCGACTCCCTCTGCTGTGCGCCGCCGCCCTCTCGCAGCGAATACGAGGACTCCGCGCGTCGGAAGTCACGCGCCGCCGAAATGCACTCTCGGAAGGCGCGCGCGTCGGCCGCCGACGTGAAGTTGAGACCCCAGGTGTCGCCACTGACCGCATCTTTCCAGTAGACGAAGCAATTGGACGCCTGTCCCAAACGCGTGGCCGATAACCACGTGTCGAGCACTTTATCGACGCGCGAGTTGTAGGCCGTCACGTGGAAGCGCGTCTGCACCTGCGTGACGGTCACGGGCACCAAATCGTCCGACAGTTGAGTCCAACGCACGGCTCCCGAACTCGCGCTCACGTGAAACACTTCCGCCCAAAGACGCAAAACGTGACCATCGCGACGGCCAATAGCCTGCTGCCCAGCCTCGCGCCCCGCCGTCGCCCGCGCCGACGGCAGCGGCTTCGGGTTACACGTGGAACACCTGCGGGGGTGGGAGGCGTTAGTGGGCGCCCAAAGACCGCGACAATACTCACGAGATCTTGTTTCCCATCGTCTGCGCAGTCGTCGTCTGAATCGAAGCTTTTCTGTGAAATCGTCGCGAATTTGAACTCAAAATCTCGTCATTCGGTTGGCTGTTGGCCTCCGACGGGGCGACCAATCAGAGCGCGGCACAGAACGCCACGACAATGAGCGCCGTTTGCGCGGAAAAGAGCGGAAATGAAAGCATTTTTGGCGACAAAACGGATATTGTTTTCGATTCCGTTCCCAAGAATCGAGAGAATCGC